GATACAGGCGAACATAAAACAAGACTTGGGCCCAAGCCCTCTCTCTCTTTATTTTATTTGTTATCGTATTTGTTTAATTGTTGATTTGTTAGGTAATTCTAAGGTTTTTCCTTAATTCAATTCCCCAAATGATGATTTAACCATAATTGTTAAAATCAAATAAATATATTTTATTTGACTTTAAAACATCTAGTATTTTCTACTTAAATAACATCTTTATTCCCTTTCCCCTAAGAAAAAGTGAGTTCAAAAGTTATTTGCTTTCTCTATTTATTCAAGTATGCGTATTTTCTCAAAATCGTTAATTATCGGATAACCGCATGTTAGCGGATCTTCTAGGTGTTTTAAAATCCTTCCTAGAACATTAATATGAACCCCGAACCCCATTTAATATTTTCATTAGATTTTCTGTTTTTAATCTTTTGAAAAATAAGTTTTCTTGATTTTTCGTTAAAAATTAAGTGGCGACTCTTAAAACTCATTTTCTTTTTTAATAATACAATGCAAAGAACAATATTTCCGTTCTTTGTAAAATACGTTACAAAGAGAATAACACTTCCGTTCCAAAACAAAAAGGAGAGTTTCTGTAGGATGTGGTATAATGGTCTTTAATGTCATTAACATTCACAATACGTTTTACAAATTTAACTCTTCACCTTCAAACTCCTCTTTGCAAATCTTATATAAGCATGGCCTTTTGTGAACAAGAAGAGAAGACACCAACACAAACAAAAAGAAGAGAAAAACTTCTTCCTCTTTTTTTCTTATATTATTCTTACAATATTTTTTGGGCAACCTCCAAAGTTTCAGCCACGAGTGCACGTGTTTGAGAGTAACTGTGGAACCTTGGGGAGTGACCGGCTACAACAATTTGCACCGAAGTCGAACCGAAATCGCTTTCAAGGCCACTAATGACTTGCCACGATACAGTGTTTGTAATAAGTTGTTTACTACTCCCTCCGTCCCTATTTACTTGTCCATATTTCCTTTTTTGGTTGTCCCTATTTAGTTGTCCATTTTGACAAATCAAGAAAGGACAACAAATTTTTTCCTATTATACCCTTATTTACACTTCTTGAAAATTGTAAAAGTGTATGTTGTTTCCCTCCAATTTATTTCACTTGAATTCAAATAAGTGGTTGTAATTTTGAAGTGAAAAGTTGTCATAAGGGTAAAATTGTAACTTCACTGTGCTAATCATTGTTGCCTTAATCTGTGTGTCATTTCTAAAGTGGACAACTAAAAAGGGACGGAGGGAGTATTTTGCAATTCCAATCCAATATCAATATTGTAGTACTTTTCCCAACACTTAATCCCTTCAAAACCTCAATGCATGGCTCCATCTTCCTAGGTCTCTCAAATTAGAAAGATTAAATCATCCATTTATGTTATTTGCCTTCATATGCACCATATGTACAATGTTCACCTAAAATAATATTGATATGTTTCGATTGTTATTTGATAATTTTCCAATAAAGATCGAATAGAATTACATGATATAATAATGTGATTTAAGTTGTTCCTTTTCTTCAAATTCTCTATATATTCAATTTGTATGATTAATAACTATAAAGCGTTTTGAATTAGATTAAATTAAAAGGATCTTCAAATTCTAAGGGCCAATAAACAAGAAGTTTCTAGAACACTAATTATATTTTCATGATCAATAAATTTAATTCAGACTATAATGTTGAGAATTTGACATGAAACTATTAGCAGTAAACAAATACGGAATTCTGAATAATTTTTGTTAGAGTATAAATAGGATTTTACTTACCTTTGATGCTTTTTTTAACTATAAATATATATTTTACAAGGTCACAAGTATTTGTTGGGAAAAATACTACAATATTGATATTAGACTGAAATTATAAAGTAGTAAATAACCTATTACAAACACTATGTCATGGCAAACTACTGCCTTGAAAGCGATTTCGGCTCGACTCCAGTGTATATCGTTGTAGCTGATCGCTCCCCAAGGTCCATAGTTGCTCTCAAACACGTACACTCGTGGCTGAAAGTTTGGAGGTTACCCAAAATCAATTACCCAAAAAATATTCTAAGAATAAGCTTTAAAAAAAAAAGGAGAAGAAGGTTTTTCTCTTCTTTTTGTTGGTTGTGTAGTTTTCACAAAAGACACTACTTATATAGGATATTTTCAATATGAATTATTGTAGACTCAAGAGTTAATTTTTATAACGCATTGTGAATGTTAATGACATTAAAGACCATTACATCACATTCTAAAGAAACTCTTCTTTTGTTTTGAAATGAAAAAATTATTCTCTTTGTAACATATTTTACTTTGTGTTCTTTTCATTACACAAAATGAATAAAGATAGAATTAATATTACAATATTATCACTAGATGGCAGTTATATCGCGGTTGACTACCTTTTGAGATTACTAGATGGTGTAAGAGATTTAGGATCGTTAGACCATACAATATGAAATTATGAGATGGAGTTGAAGTTTTGTTTGGACATATTTGAACTTTTTATGTTGTATATTTTCTCATTAACGTAAAAACTCCACAAGTTGTAAACTATCAAAATTGTTCCAATTGTTTATACAATCTTACCAAATAAACAAAAGTTTATAAAATCACATTTATTGCTCAAACCTTAATTCAATAAAAAAAAATTGAACATAAGTTATAGTGTTCAAGTTGTTAGTAGATAAGGAAATTATTTTTGTAATTAATGTCACGGTGATTAGTCTTGTCCACTTAATATAATGATGAATTTTTTTTATTACTAAACATTGATTTGAATGAAGTACTAGCAATAAATTTGATTAGAAAATAATGAATTTAGCGAATATAAATGGTAAATTAAGAATTGATTTGAAGTAAAAATAATTTTATATTGGAGAGAATAATCGTTATATGAGATATAAACGATTTAAATAGTAATGATATGAATTATAACTTTTATTTACATATGAAACAAATAGCTAGTAGATATATATAAATTATATGTGAGATACTTTTAACAGAATATAAACTGGTGGGTTTATTTTTGTATTTGAAAAAACCATATAATGATTTGAAATTCTCAAATCATGACTTTTAGAGAATTTAAAATTTCAAATATAAAATCAGTGTGAAATCACATGTCCAAACGCTGATTTCTTCCCATAATTTTCATATCATGGAATAAAATCGCATGATCAATCACCTGCATAATAATTCAATCGAATTAAACTAGTATCTATTGCTAGTGGGAATTCTATACTTTTAATTGGCAATAGCCACTTTCTTAGCTAGCGTTTGGCCATAGATTTCCAAATATATTTAGCAAATATTATTTGGGTGAAATTTCACCATGTGTTTGGCCATAGTATTTGGGAAATATATTTCAATTTTTTAAGAAATATGACTTATGCCCATAAGTTTTTAAAACTATCAAAACTAACCATAAACTTGTATTACATAGCAAAATAGAAATGTCGCGTAACAAGATTCATGACTTCCGCAACAAATCAAAAAGCATCATTATAGTAAGAAAATGTATGTAGATTTTTACAAATTACCTTCAATTTGTTTCTCCACAGAGGATTGCCACAAAGCTTTTACTACAGTTGTTCAACTAATTTTTTGGGTATAAAAGCTCTTGTACATGTATGCTCTTTATAATAGAAAAATTTATTAATTGAGTTAGTTAGCAGATGGAGATTTGATTGAGTTGGTTGGTGTTAATAAATAAAGTGTTTTTGTAAAAGATAAAAGTTTAGTGTTAAATTTGAATTTTTAAATCTTTTGAAATAATGAGATTTGGCCCAAATACTAGAAAAAACTAGTATTTGGGAATTTGGGTTATTTGCCAAAAAAATTTGCCAAATAATGAGAAAGTGTATGGACAAACAATATTTGCCAAATTTTTTCCCAAGTTTTCTTGGGAAATCTATGGCCAAACGGGCCCTTAATGTCCTATCTCTATCTCTAGGGATTTTCTCACCGTCTTTTCTCTCAACTAGGCTCCTCATTTATGGCATTGTCACCTCTTATAAGCTTAGAAAACACACGAGATATATTTATTACTATATAATATAATTACATTTTGACTTTTTTGTATTTTAATTATATATATTCCAAAAAATCACTAACATGCACAAGATACTTTTTCTTCTTCTTGTTTTTTTTTATATAAATTCTTTGGTTTATAAACCCTTTTATTAAGGAAAAACTATTTAATTACATAAATATTTTTGATGCACGTGCGTTGGACAAAAAAGTCTTCAGAAGAGAATGAATAGAATCTTGTGTGCTTTAAATATACTCGTCCCTATTTCTTTGTCCATTTTTCTTTTATAGTTATCCTTAATTATTTGTTCATTTTGATAAATTAAGAAATGATCAAAAAAAATAATTTATTATACCCTCAATTAATTACTTCGAAAAAGGTAGAACTTTTTGAAAATATTAATTTTTTAATTCATCCACTTCATAATTAAAAGAGGTAAAATAGTAAATTCACTATGTCAATAATTATTTTCTTAATAGATGTGACAATTCAAAAGTGGAAAAGTAATTAGTAACATGGAGTATATGAGAAAGAGACATCACTCCCAACATTTTTCAATTCAAGTGATAGGTGATAAATTGTTGAGAAAGTCCACCAACATTTTTCATATAATATTTATTATTTCCTCCGTTTACTTTTACGTACTTTCTCCGTCCACTTTTAATTATCGTTGAGTCTTTTGAAAGGCAAATTGATTAATTTTAAATGTTAAATTAGATTACATTAATTTGATATTTTAAACAAAAAAAATCTAGATATCTAAAAGCTATACCAAAAATGTTATAATTTTCTTAATACAGAAGAGGTTTTTTTTTTCCGAGGTCTAGTTCCTAGAGTTCAGTGGAACTATCAATTTGTAAATGATTCACTTTTGATTAAATAAAAGTTCAATATTTGACCAAAATAAAATAATAATTAAAAACCATATAGTACCAAAATAAATTTGACTGATAAACTTGTGAATAATAATACATCAACTTTATTCATAATAATAATAATAACAACTCCTCAGATAATTAGGAGACAACATATTGAAACTCATAACATTTTAGAGTCAACAAACTTTTGAATTCTTTGGAGGGCGATCTCCATAGTTTGATCATCGATATTTGCAAAACAAATTCGAAACCATCCTGCCTCCGAACAACTAAAAGAAGATCCAGGTGAGATATTGAGCTTCGCGTCATTTATGATCAGTTTCCTTAGTGACTCCTCAGCATCAGGTGTTGGCTCTTTCAGCAAAGTTCTCAAATCCACCCAGCAATAAACCCCAGCATTGCTTTTTAAGTATTTGATTCCGATTTTTTCAAGTTCGCTAGTGAATTTCTCGTGCCTTTTCCTTAAATTCTTAGTATTTTCAATGAGAAATTTTTCGATAAATCCATTGCCAAACATGGAAGGTAGAGAATGTTGTGTCAAAGAGGAAACAAGACTGAAACTCGACATTTTTCTAGCACAATTAACGACATCATCATTGAAGGAATACACAATTTCCACTTGAAATCCTGGAAAACCCACTTCTTTGGAAACACTGGACACAATATGTACCAATTTTTTATTAACACATGAAATTTCATCCATAATTTCAGCGATGCTAACGAATTGTGGAGCATCAAATACGGTGCCAGCATAGATTTCATCGCAAAGGTGGATGTTATGTTCGTTAGTGAAGGTCAAGATTTTTTTTAGTGTGTCCCTATCCAAAATAGTGCCTAATGGATTAGAAGGGTTGGACAAAATCATGCCTTTGACTTTGATTTTTTCTTGTTGGACTTTTTCAAATGTCTCTTTGATAGCTTCTATGGTAATCTTGAAATTGTTGGAGCTCTTGCATGAAATGGGCACAAGTTGAACATTAGTTCCCCAACGTATGTCCTTAGCAAATCTGCGTATATAACTTAAATCCTTATAAATATTGAAATGGCATCCCAATTTATGTATGTAGAGATTCCATTTTGAAGTTAACAACAATAAAAATGACAATAAGGTGATTTACAATTGTGTTTATTATTATCATTTACTATTTGTTTTGTTCAATTAAGAATTAAGATAGATCAATAGGTGTTGCATATATAGCTTCAAAAATATTACACTTTCTGTTTCAATATAGTATATGATTTACTTTTCGTTTTAGTCAGTGTAAAAAAGAATGATATATTTCTATATCAAATAATAATAATATAACTTTAAATGTACATGATTTATAGTCATACAAATATCTATCACTTATTTTTTATCATAATTTTAAAAAATATTCCCTTTTTTCTTAAATTTTATATCAAATCAAACTAACTCATAAAATAGGACGGAGAAAACAGGTGTGGATCTGCTGCAGATTAAACTTTATTTTTATGAGTCTTTGAGTTGTCTTTTTGTGTATGACATTGAAATGGATGGGGATCGGAGTCAATTATTTGAATGGCCATCGGAAAAGAATATAATTAAGGTGTCAAACAACCCATTAAATGATTATACGTAGATGCTACGTAAAAAAGTTACTTACTACTCTCTTCGTCCACTTTAAATTGTTATGGTTTTCTTTTTTTTTGAGTTAAATTATAAGAGTCTTGACTAACATTTTACGATTAATTTGTTCTTTCTCTTCCTCTTTTTTAGTGTTGTTTTGTGGGAAGAAGAGAGTAAGATGAAGAGAGAAAAAAAAGTATAAATATAGGTTTTGATATCCATTTCTATCGGCAAAAAAGGTGAAGGACAGTGATGGTAGATCTAGAAAAGCAATACAATGAAGAAGATCATTGTATTGCTTTTCTAGATGAAGAGAGGAAAAAGTATAAATATAGGTCTTGATATCCATTTCTATCGGTGAAAAAGGTGAAGGACAATGATGGTAGATCTAGAAAAGCAATACAATGAAGAAGGTATTGCTTTTCTAGATGAAGAGAGAAAAAAGTATAAATATAGGTCTTGATATCCATTTCTATCGGCGAAAAAGGTGAAGGTTAGTGATGGTAGATCTAGAAAAGCAATACAATGAAGAAGGTATTGCTTTTCTAGATGAAGAGAGAAAAAAGTATAAATATAGGTCTTGATATCCATTTCTATCGGCGAAAAAGGTGAAGGTTAGTGATGGTAGATCTAGAAAAGCAATACAATGAAGAAGATAAAAAAAAAAAAAGAATGGCAGGAGTTTAAGCTTGAGAAACGATGAAGATGAATAAAACAAATAAGGATCTGTTGTGTTCTCAGGGGCAGAGCTAGGTGGGAGTTCGTGGTTTAAGCAAACCCAATAGCTTTTCCGTAGATCCTGTATATGTACTAGAAAAATCAATAAATATATATGTATATTAACTCGTAAACGACTCCTAACAAAACTGATTGACAACTTAGTGGTAAGGAAGGAATTGTGAAAATGTTTTCGACAATAGAGTTGTGGGTTCCAATTGCACTATCAACAAAAAATGTAGAAACCTCAAACTCATAATCCTGATTCCGCCTCTGATTAGTTTCCCGATAATATATGAACAAGTTTAAGATTGGAGAACACACATACATACCCAGGGTAAAAAGGGGCAGGGACTAAAAGAGCATCACCAGGATCAGCCAAACAAGAGATGAGAGTTTGTTTAGCTCCATTAGCTTCAGCAGACATTACTAGTACTAGTTATGCATCAAAACTGTTTGAGTTTTGTAGAATTCATAGGTGGAAAACTAGCTCCGTCATCAATACTATGATCTTTTGTTATACTAATTTCTGGATACGTGTGTATAATATGAAATCAAATATGAAAAGACTAGTCCAAATAACTTATTATAAGAAGTCGTTTTGTAGCTACTAACTGGTTTGTGAATGTATTCCTCTATTTTGCCAAAATACACTTGTTAAGTTATTTAAAAAAAATTAAAACTTTGCATCAAACTTTTATATTTTATGAAAAATAAATCCATTAATTATGACTCCATTTACAATTTTATCTACCTAACCCTTCAAGTAACAACGAACCTGGACAATTTCAACAATTCATTAAATTCAGTAAAAGGTTGCAATCAAACAGTTGGGAGTCACGCGTTTTGAACACCACATCTAACTCATATTTCATATTTTCTAATGTGTCAAATATATGAAAATCGTTTTTGATAATAGATGACAGTGAGAGATAAATCAGGACCTTATGATTGTTATTGTTACGTTGAAGTGTAATCATTTTATTTAAAAATTTGAATAACTAAAAATATATTTGTATTTAATTAAAAGATGTCAATCCTATATTAATTTTTGTGCTACAAACATTTCTTTGTTTTAATTACTATTTAAGAAATTCAAAAGGAGACGTGAGTTGTTGGTGAATTAACTATTAATAATCCGTAAACAGAGAATTTGAGAAAATATTTTTATTTTTTACAAATATAATGAAAAAGTGTTGGGATACTCACTTCACTTAATATTTCTATTATAAAGTATATTTTTTATTTTTCAATTATATTTATATTTCTCAAAAATGTATACATGCCTCTCGCGATTACATCTATATAGAGTTATTGTAGTTGGATAATGAAAATGTATTATTCTCCTCGAGTATTAAAGAACGAGGAAATATATGCTTGAACTAAAAACACGTTGTTTTTAGTAAAGCTCGTTTGAATGAATTTAAAAGTTGGTTCTAAGTTTTTTTCAAATATTAATCATGTTTGATGAAGTTCGAAAATATCTTTTAAGAAAAATATATTTTTGCTAAAATAAGCCAAAAATAATAAGTTGAAATTGTTGTCCAACTTATTGCGTTTTAGTTAAAAGCATGTTTTCTTTGATTAATTATATTAGTTTTTCTATCGTTTATAATTATTAGTTTTCCTCATAAATTAACCTCCAATACATAAAAATTGTTATTAAGCACTTGAAACATAAAATCTATTTAAATTAAATCAATCTAAACGGAATCATTTTGATTGCATAACTTGTTGTAATAAGTGTAGAATCAATGATAACACAAAAGAGATAGATGTCGTAAGGTAATAAATTAATATTAATAATCTATTAATATCACAATTAATGGTATTACTTCTTCAGTCTCTCGTGGTTATAGGAATCAATAATAAATTAATATGTAGTACAAAATAAATATTTCCTTCATTTCATTTTGTTTATCTTACTTTCCTTATTAGTTCATTTAAAAAGCTGTCTCTTTTTTTTGACAATTTTTTAATTTCAATTTTTTACCTGACATATTTAAGACTATCAATTTTAATGACATTTACATATTTTTAGCTTATAAGAATTCCAGACTCAATAGTCTTATTTAAACGGAAAAAGCTATATTAACATATTAATAATATACAATTATAAAACAGATAAAAACTATAAAAGAAAAGGATTAATAACAGATTTGAAAAGGACGGTGAATACATAAATATTTTATCACTTCCTACTCCAAATTGGCAAAGTTTCTCACCTTACAATAGTTTCTACTTTCTCCACTTATTTATATGTTGCAACATAATCATATTAACCATTTTAATTTGTTTGTTTAAAAAGGGAGTTGAAGTACTACTTTTTCTTCTTCTTTTGGGGTACAAAAGAATTGGATTAATTTTCTATATTTATTATGATTAACATGTATTTTTGAGATACATAGATTTGATTATTCGCATTAAATATTTTATTTTAGCTCAAATTAACTTAGTTGTCTAAATAAATCTTTCGAAATAATTACAATATTGCTAACAAGTTATGACTTTAATTGTTAATGAGGAAAATGTTGAACTTGACTAGACGATGTACCTTACAAGGGCAAATAAATAATACACCATGTATAGGTAAAAAATATAAAAGTAATTGAATAATTTTTTTGTTACAAAATAAATAAAAGTTTTTTAAAAAAAAATAATTATCAAGTGTTTTTTTTTAATCAAGTGGTGGAAGAAGCCGATGAAAAAGAAAGTGATTGAACTATTTGCCAGAATAAACTGATTTTTATTTTTCCGAAAAAGGATCAAAATTACCCTCGAAATATTCGAAATAGCTTTTATATATCCTTCAATATATGTTTGGGATCGAACTATCATTGCCGTCTATGTTTTGGACCACAAATACCCTTAAATATTATTTTTGTCATTAGAGTTGACATGGCAGTCTACCCATGCAGTTCAACATGGCAAAAATATCTTCCTCTCAATAACATTGTTATAGCTTGTTCATCTCTGTCACCAGGGGCGGACCTACAGTGGTTCAAGTGGGTTCATATGAACCCACTTCGTTGAAAAATAACACTGTATATATATGTATATTTAATCAATTTTTAAAATTTTATATGTATATATTAAATTTTGAACCCACTAACACAAGTCTGAAGCTTAGCTGAGTGGTTGAGGGGGTTCAATTTTCCCAGCCAACCCGGGATCGAATCCC